TTTTTTTTTCATATTGGTAAAAGGCATAACAAATAAATGCATTGATAAACTCAAATGTATTAGTACTAATGAAGCTCGGCACAAACTAACTTAATCAACAAGAATGTCGGAGAGCACAAATATAAAAGGTCCTTAGTGCAACTAGACGGAATTCAGATGGGCAAACTGCTTAGCTGGCACTTGATTAACGTCTGATCAGTTTTTTTTCATAGCAAAGCAAAGTTATATAGCTAGCTGCCCACATTTCCTGGTGCTGTTTGATACTCCCTCTGTAGAGAAATATAAGAGCGTTAATCTCACTAAAATAGTGATGTAAACGCTCTTATATTTGTTTACGGAGGGAGTATGTTTGTATATTGATGGTGTGAAGCTTAATTACTTATTTAGAACTCAACAGAAATTAATACATCTGGGAGTATGTACAACTCCTAATATACCAGACAGATGGATTTTTTTGCGTGATAAACTTTCAATCTATCCAGCTTCAATCATGATAGTACAAAGAAGACCAGAGGCAATAAAAATTACAATCAGGTCCATGGACCACCTAGCGACGACTAGAAATACTGGAGCGAGTCGAAGCTGCCGTTATCGCCCCTCCTTCATCGGAGCGGGGCAAACACTGTTGTAGTAGACAGTCGGAAAGTCATCGTACTAAGGCCTCATAGGACCAGCACACCGAAGCAGCAACCATCGCTGATGAAGAAAGTCGTAGATCGGAAGTATCAAATCTGTAAACACCCAAACGAAGACGAATGAAGATTGGATCCAAACGGATCCGGTTAAGAGCAGCACCGACCGAATCTCGCATGATCCGACTGACACACACCTCCATACGCCCTCCAACGACGCTAGACACATCATCAAAATGGTGATAGAACATGGGAGACATTATTCCTACTGAGGGACATTGCTGGCGCCACACACCCCAACTAAGACGCTGAACCTAACAAGAAAGGGAACAGGGTCCATCCTCTGCACCTTCATGGCCCAGAGGCAATTGGAGATGGGGCGGACTGGCGGCGGCGCCGATGAGAGGAGGAAAAATTGAGATCTTTTCCTCTGGAGGAGGAAAGAGAAGGCTTATTCTGTTGGTCACATAGCAATTTTTATCATACCAGACAGATGAATTGATAATACCTTTTTAATCATCTGTAATATACTTCATCGGTAGTTACTAGATACCCCAACTATGAAAAAAACTCATGTGAGTACGTACATATTTTTATAGAGTTTGCATATATCCTGCTCTTATGTGCATAAAATATTTATATTGCAACAACTATGGGCCCCAGCTCTTTTATATTACACATATTGGGATGCCTTTTCACCAAAAGAAAATCAATTAAATATTTTTTAATGTCCCCAAGAAATTTTATTTTAATGTGATAGTTGCACTGGGCCAACTAATAATTAATAAGCCAACATAAAAGTATGTGTGGCTGTGTGTCCGATCGAGGAAGATACGATCCTCTCCACCTAAACAGTGATCACGTCCACGGTGCTGCTGATTCAGACCCAGTGTCTCATCCGTGCGCCCAGCGAAGCTTCTGATTCCCGAGATCGCCAACAAGATTTCCCAGAGGCCCCCTGTCACAATTCCTGGTGGTCTAATCAAGGTGTCACACTGATGACAAAGATCTCCTCCACGATCATCTCTGAGCAAATCAAGGTACCCGTGGAAAACATAGTTTATAACCATAAAGAAAAAACTCCGTACATATATGTGTCACACGCTTCAGGGGCACAATTCCTTGTAGCTACTAGTATGACCAATAACAAAGGTCTGGATTATTCTCTACATTTCATTGGCTAAGTTACACCTTTTCTCGATGTGATTTTGTTGACTTTTCATTTTGGTGGGGCCTGCGGTCGATATATATGTGTACAAAACGGAAATCCCCTCCAATGATCACATGCTTGCGTTTCTGATGGCGGAAGGGCTGACGTTGGGAGGACCAGCAGCGGTCGCGATATGTAAAAGTAAACTTTTTATCAACAATTTCTTCCATGTCATTTTAGGCATATACTAGTGTTACTAGGAATTATGGGCCCTCGGCCCATATGAATAATATTTCCTGTAAAATCCCATAGGCTCCTCTTGGATGTATGACATGTGTGCAAAATTGGTCTCATGTTGCTACTGGATATGAGAGAGTACAACAAGATATAAATAGGCAGTATAATATATTTTTAGAATTTGCAAAAAGGCTAGATATGCCAAGCTGAACACACTATTATGGTAGAATCACTAGTGACGAGTCCAAAATAAATCGATCGTTAGCTCTATAGGAATTCCCCAAGTCTATCCATGTTGTTTGATGTGAGGGGTAGGTCGAACATCGTGTGGCGAGCTTCCCCAACTTTAATCTATAATTGTTCATGTATGCAATCGTATGATCCTCCAATTGTCTAAAGTAGTGGAAATTGTACTACTTAAGACTTGGATTTTAGTTAGGGGATCGTCTCTGATCTGAACCCCTTTTGACTCTTCTTTCGTTAGTGTGGTTTGGGTCACATGGTATCGATCGATTGCATAAACTAACACACCAAGGCCATGGCACTATATATAGCTATCTTAACATAAATAATGAAATCAAGCTTTCGTTTAGGCAGGCTGGAGTCTCCATTTAATAATTAAGAGGGATCGATACTGGGCGTGCAAGGCGATCTCTCCCTTTCACTTTAAGTGGCCGGCCCTCTCGACACCACCCAGCTTCTCCTTTTCCTCCACCTCCTTTTCTTGCCCCCATTTCTGGGTCGTCTCCTACCTAGGTCTTGTCTGTTGGTAGCTATACCTGGGTACGATCCCATGAGGCTATGAGTGCAAGCAACTTTGGGGACAGCATGGAGTGGGGCAGGGGGAGATCCTCCTCCTCCTCGTCGGGGTCGGGGTCGGGGTCCGGGAGGGGCAAGAGAGCCGCCGCCGTCGACAAGCCGAGGCAGCCGCAGCGGGGCCTCGGCGTCGCGCAGCTTGAGAAGATCAGGTTGCAGGCCGAAATGGCCGAGTACCAGCACCACCCTCCTCTCGTCGGACAGCCACCTCCGTCGTCGTCGATCCACGGAACCGGTAGCTTCAACCTGCAGGTAATCACTCATCGCATGTTCATGCACGAAGTAGCTAGCTTGATGCTTAATTACTTGTGTTATATTCATTAACCGGGCTGTCTGATCTTATCAATACATGTCTATTAGGTGCATGATTTCTGATTTGGTATGATTTTGGAATTTGATTGGTTGATCGAGCAGGAAGATGCACGCTCGTCGTTGAACTACTCACTGCCGTCGTCGCCGTCCTCCTCCTTCCATCCAAATCTTGTGGTATGTGCAATTTTACTAAACCGAGGATTAAGTTCTTCACCAAGTGCATCTAGTACTGTACTATACATGCTAGCAGTTGGTTTCACACTTACCAAAACGTTGCCTGATGTATGTTACCGGTAGGTAGGTTAATTTAGATGGCTCCCTAGATTAAAGATGCATGGTCATTCATTATGGATAGTTTGGTTACACATAATACAGTGCTTTCTCAATCTTATCACAAAGAGCCATGCTATACGTATGATCTTTTCTGCACAATTTTCTTCTTCTGCTACTCATCAGACCATTCACATGCTAGTGCAAATTGCGGGCAACCATCCGATTTTGTGTTGTGCTTGAGTCATATCGTACGTGCAGTTGTTTCGTATGACAAATGTAAGTGGGGTTTGATCACAGACACGGTCTCGTAGGTGAAATCAATTTATATGAACATATTCCTTTCAGATAAAAATATTTATTCACTACAGAAATCCAGAGATGAGTGAATGGCAGCTGTTTATTAACATCAATATATGTTATATACCATTGTACTGGATTCATCGAAATCTTTTGGTATATGCAATTTTACTGAACTGGGAATTAAATTCGTCACTAAGTGTATCAATTAAGTACTTTATATAGATGCTAAGATTTGATTTCATATTACCAAAATATTGCTCAGTTAATCATTGTTATCGCCTTAATCCGTGGCTGTGTTAATGATTATTGTCCATTCATTTTTGATAATTTAGTTGACTAAACAAAATTTAGTAACAAAAAAAATCAGCGATCACCCCACAAGATCAGGAAAAGTTGGACAGAAAATCTATCTTAATTATGTAAATTTCCCTTTAATTTTTGTTCTGACGCTTTAAATCGTCCCAGCAATACTTTTCTAGTAGTACCATGTGCTAGCTGTATCAATAATGCACCATAATATGATACACTATGTTAGAACCTTTTTGTATATGTATACGTGTGAATCCGCGGGGAAGAACAAGAGTATCATTGCAACCAAAGATCAGATTTTATTCTCCCATGCACGTGATAGCCTTATCATCATGCATCCTGCATATCTTATGCCCGGTATGTGCTGCCTAACCAGACATGCATGTGTATTGTAACATACATAGATGGCCTATAATGGATGGAGATCAGGAGACATGAGATATGGCGAATCCCCAACTGCTCCCATCATCAGGTATCTATTAGTACTAGCCTGTGTCCAATGCAAGGTCCACGTACGATCTAAACTGCAAATGTCCCAGACAGAATTAATTAATATTATTATTCTCTCATATAATTAACCTTCAGATCAGGGTCGAATTACCATGGAGCAACTACCTATGGTACAACACATTACCCTCATCCGGGTAGCGATCACACGTTGCCTCTCTTCGAACCCAAGGTCGGTGGGTATGCAGAAGTGTATTTATACGATCATGGATAATCGAACTGTTAAAAATGATGCATGCTGCACCAAAATTTACATCCAAAATCATGAAGTATATAAGGATGAGCTAGATATACACACATGCATGAGATACTTTTTGTTGCTCCCTACATAATCTTAATCTAATTTCACAAATATTCATCTGGTAGTTTTTGGAAAAAATCATATACCCTTCTTTACTCAGCACTATATATCTGTGCCTTCTTAATTGTTTTTCCTACTCCTAAATACTCTCGAGTTTATTTGGTATACATGAGATTTTTGTTAGTGTTTTGTATGTAAAGTTTATTTTTTGGGATTGCTTGGGGGTGGGGGTAATACAATGTGTTAATGCATTTGCTTTCAAGATGTGTGTGTCATCTATTTCTTTTGAATAATGCTTTAAATGTAACATCAATTCTCTGATGGTTGACATATGGGGCTTAAAGTTTTGTTGTGCTAATTGTAGTGCACGTTTGATTCAATATACACTTGTATTTCTTGAGATGCAACATGTCTTGTCCAGTTTCCTTCATCGCCAATAATATTGAAGATATGTAAGAAAATGCTATAAGAAACTACACTTGTATTTGTAGAAAGTACCACTTGTTTTTGTTTCGGTTATGTCAGTCCAACATGCTTGAGCGCACGGTTTACTGACATGGTACTGCAAACCAGTTCCTAGATTTTTCTTTTTGCTGCTAAATATCTATATGTGCAATGTGATGATGTACTTAAAGCCAGTCCAACAATGTGCCATCTTATGTCCATTATAGAGTTTACTCCGATCCAATCAAAATTTACATTTGCTCATAAATAAGCTGTTAATTGTTGTGAAAAAAAATATGTTGACTCCATTTGTTTCATGTGACAGCTGGACCTAAATCAAATGGCGACAGTAGACTCATCGTCGGCGAGTACGAACCTGGATGATGTGGACCTTGAGCTGAAGCTATGATACCACCTGGTTAAACATGTCCATGCTCGTGGCATATGCATCGATATGATGCCACACGAACCGCGGTGTGTTTAATTCTCATGCATATATTGGATTGCGATTGATTTGGTGATGGATGCTGGCTAGCTAGCTAGTTAATTTGTACAGACATAAGCACACTACGGCCATGGATTTCAGAATATATATGGCAGCTGGTCTGCCTAGGCCACTGATCTTGCTGCCTTTTGCACCTAGCTAGTGTTGTATGATGACAAGGTACGTATATTCTGGTGCAGTACTTTGGGCGTCGATTGTTCTCGATATTAATATTGCTGGTGGTGTTAATATCGTAAGGATGCGTAGGAGAACTCCTGGCTCAAAAAGGTGTTTTTACATTGCTTGCATGCTGCTAGGAAGCACTTTACATCATGTGTCCGATTTTTTTTTTGATTTTTTTGAGGGGTGATAAACAACTTTATGGAACGCCAAACCAGACGTGACAACCAGGACCTCTAGAAAGAAATTTTTTTGCTAAACTATGTGCTTCATAATTCGTAATACGACACTCAAAAGTAAATTTACACTGGACATTAGCAGTTCTAAAGTGAATCTCGCTGATAATTGCTCCATATCTTCCTCTAGCATTGTGGCCAATATCTGCCACAACCTGTTTGCAGTCTGATGCTATGACGAAGTTGTGGATATTCATGTCTTCCGCCAAGCACAACGCCTCACAGCATGCTATCGCTTCCAAAGACGTAGGGTCAGTGACACCCTCCAAAACCAACGCCGAGGCCCCAATATATATATGTGGTATCTGATATTATCTTTTGACCTTTTCTAAGCCCATTGCATGCATGAACTTATATATGTGCACAAACGCGTACGAGAGCTAATGTACTTCCTCTGTTCGTGTGTATAGGGCATGCATATAATTCTAGGACATCAATTTGACTAACTAAATATGCGTATATGTCATCAAAAGCATATCATTGGATTCGTATGCAGACATAGTTTCTAAACATATATATTTTATCACATATAATACATATTTAGCTAGCTAAATCATTGACCTAGATCTACGCGCATGAGCTACACATCCGGACGAGGTAGTATATAGCACTCATGGGATGGGTCCAAGGATGCGTACGTGAGTACTGTCTCTGGCCGCGGCTTTGTTTTATGCATCTTTGGAAATTAGATTTATTTGTAGTTAAGCTCCCCATCATGCTGAGATTGACGCTTTTGCATCTATTTATGTTTAATTACATAGTTTTAAATAGCCGGCTATAGCTCTGCTGTAGCCCATTATAGCCTTTTCAGCAGGGTGCCGCTAAATTGTCGCCTTTATAAATAGCCTGCTATAGTCCATTTTAGCCCGCTATAGCTGATTTGGAGGCCCACCGCTATTTTCCATAGCCCGCTATTTAAAACATTATTTAATTATCAAGTAAATTTCACTTTTTACCATCTAAGCTTGAGTTACGACATACTTTTACCCCATTTAAAGAAATTCTTCTGAAATAAGTTATTTCAGCTTGTATCATTTTAAAAGTTTTGCCCCACATGTCTGGCGGGGCAGCGCATGTAGCCCGTTGAGTCAGATGTCACACTAGTGATGCATTGCTCCTCTTCCAATGCAGAAAATGGGCCCATGGTGACTTAGTTAAGCCCATAGGTCCCTCGACCCGGTCCAAACCAAAGATTATAAGTTCATTCCAGAGTTCAGCAAACATGGAGGTAGTCCTCTCTGCCTTAACGTGAGCTGCGTATTTGGAAGCGGAAGCAACAAAGGCGGTGTCTGTTTTTGCTGAAGCAACCCTAAACTACAAGCCGACATATCTTACTTGCTAGCGTGGATGAGGGAAATGAGTTATCTTACTTGCATGCGCATTCTCCCTATGCCTTTTTGCCCGCCTTGGGTTCGCCTCTGCTCCACAACTCCCATGTGATGAAACGAGGATGAAGGCAAGAGAATAGGGTCAATCCTCGTGACTAACTCGGGTTGAACCATGCCCCGCGCGCCATGCACGAAGTCGGACGCTTCTCGTGCAAACGTGTCTCTGAACTGGAGTCTAACTCAGCTTGGCACGTAGGATTGACGACCGGTAGAATGGGGGGAAACATTAAAAAGGGTCAAAACTAGCATAATATATCTTAAATGGGATATTATAGATGAACCTCTGCTAAATAGAGTAAAAGTGTCACAAACTACATAAATTTTCAGGTGAATTTTTGAAACAATATGCATCATGTTGGTTCTTCCTAGAAGAATGCCTCCACGATCTAAAGGATAATTCATGCATGCATGAAAGCATGCATGCATAGAGATATCCATTGAAACATGCCCAGCCACCATCATGTTATGAGCCATGGCATTTTGCAACACTGAAGGTGCATGCATGCACCACACACCTTTTTCTTGCGGAAAATGCAGCAATGCATATCAACAAGATATCACACGTTTGTAAATGTCTGATATCCTCACAATTTGTTGTATGTTCCATGTCATCAAAATCCTATGCATGCGTGCGTGTGAAAAGGTAGCTTGCATGTGCAGCTCCCTCCCAATCCCATGCCTCATGGATGCAAGCATTAAATGTCAAAAGCCGGGCTTATTTAATTTTTTTAAAAAGAGGGGCATCCCCTGCCTCTGTATCGGACGATGCACACATACATATATTATTGAAGAAACAAAATCCAGCTGTCAAACAAAATCGACCTGGGAAAGAAAACTTGAGGCCGCATGCCTCTTGACAGTAGCTCCACGAAGCAACCACAAACCCTATGGTAAAAGAAAAAAACAAGAGAAAAGTATATATAGCTAATCCAACAGCCAGAATACTATATGAGCTAGAGGCATGGCATTTGCCTACAGGCAAACAGCCGGCTGTTTTACTAACCATGCTCAAAAAACCATATATCACATCAATCTACAAAAATTCGAAAAGAGAAAATAATCTAATTCCATTGTGGACCTAATGTTATATATACTAATAATGAACACAACTTTTTGTGTGTGGGAAAATCAGCAAATACTTTGAAAAAGAGAGAATCTAATTCCATCGAATAATGTTATCAATACTATAATGTTTCCAGTTAAAGATCTGACATATATCACGCATGCATCATCGTGCGTCCTTTTTGTTTTTGGGTATTTTCATGCATGCCTTTTTCCCTTGACATGATCATTGCACTAGAATATCTTATAATTTCTCAAAAATAATATTAGCTGATGATACGCAGCATGTACACCATATCAATCCGGCATCGATCTCAATCTTCGATCATATCAACTATTTGTATGCATGTTGGAAAAGCAAATCCAGATTAACGTACACACAATCTCATTGATCGATCCGTACATTCTGGACGTTGGATGAATCTTTAATGGCAGTGCTAAATTAAACTATGCTAGCCTATCTAATCATACGATCTTAATTGTTGTCTAATTATCTCATACATGTATAGTACATGTGAACAATTCACACATTAATTTTGTTTTTCGACATAAGAACCAATCGATGTGGTTGGATAGTTAGAAGGATGGTGATACTTCCATCCACTAGGGAACAAACCTTAAGTTTAACGCTTTGATATGTCATAATGTAGTGGAACTCTCATCTAGTTTTCAGCAGGCGTTGTGTGAATGCATGTGTAGTTGTGGCGTGAGTGGGTATGTGTGTATGTGCTCACACGCACATTGTGATCGTTGTTTCTTAAAATAATTCCTTTCCCAACACATGAGACTGGTAATAAGCGAGTGAATAAAGGCAGTTAGGCTCGCATGAACGTATGTACACTAGCAAATTGCTGACCACATGGCTTACACAAACAATCTACTCCCTCCGCATCATAATATAAGAGCATTTTTACACTACATTACTGTAAAAAAAGTTCTTATATTATGGGACGGATGGAGTATATACTAATATAGGGGGCGGATATTATCTTTGGAGGCCGAGCTCCATGGAGCTCGGTTTTGAAAATTTTGAATTTTGTCAAATTTCATATTTTCTACATTTCAAAAAATTCTGAAAAAACACACACATATACATGAAGGCATAACACACGTGCGTGTAAATTTTCAGGGAAAAATAAGTTGAAATGAGGACTGTGCAAAAAAGACAAATCTGGGGCCTTTTAACACATGATACTCTTCATCCTCTCAGGCCATGAATTTGTCTTTTTCATAAAGGTCACATTTCAACGTTTTTCATTCTAAAAAATTTCACACATAGACATAACATACTTGTTTACTTGCACAATTTTTTTCAGATTTTTTTAAAACCAAAAAGGTTAAATTTTGATTTGTTTTCATAAAAAGGCCTCCGTGGCTCCCGGGAGCCAAACGTCCGCTCTCTATAGGGGGTTCTAGTTAAGTTGGGGGTTTGGCTATATTTTAGAAAGTACAAATTTAGTTTGCCATGGGGAAAAAGGAAGGAAAGTGCACTTTTTCACCTTTGTTTTATTCTTGTCGCAAGTTTACATTATACTTTCGTTGGTGTTTTAATCTGAAATGTCACATGCTGCAGTCATGTCACTTTCTTGTTTATTTTTAGCTACTTTCTTGGTTAATGTTTTTTAAGACAAACTTAGTTTTTTTCTTTTGAGAATCTAAGACAAACTTAGTTGATGACAGTGTGATAAAACTAGAATTGCTCACTGGAGGCCCATGAAGGCCCGGTACTTTCAGGGCCCTCAACCAAGCAGGTCCACTTGAGGCCCAGCCGCGTGTTTAAACCGCAGAATGAACAAACATGCACAAATGCAGGCGGCTATATTTGAACGTGCGCGTCGTCGTTGGTCGTTGCACCCTCCCGCGCTATTAATGGAGCACGGCCACGCGCTGCGACCCAATTTTAGCTCAACCAGCCGCACGCGCTCGCCGGCCAGAGCTACCGTCCGTGGCAACGCTCGACGGCCGGAGCTACCGTCCCGTCCCAGTCAAGGACGAGGAGGTCGGCCGAGCTCATCGGGGAAGGAGGCGCCATGGCCCGGTCCTCCTCCCTCCTCCGCGC